AGAAATTTCTCTTCTGTCAGAAGACTCTGTTAGTGCTTCTGGGAGGTTTCCTGGAGCACTGTTAGCTTTGCAGAACAGCCGTGTGTCTCCCCATGACTTGCTTTTTGGTGGATATATTATATTATATTATATTATATTATATTATATTATATTATATTATTATATTGTGGTAGTCGGGGGGACTGCTACAGCTCCCCAGATAACTTCACAGCATAATATGCAAACAGTGGTTGCAACCTAACAAACAAGAAGGAGTGTTCAGTTTTGACCTGTCATTGTTTTTTTACAATTATTGTTAATTGCTCATAATGAGTTACTTCTAAGTTCTGGGCTTGGCACATCCTGTCTTGTTCAGACCCAACTTGAGACATTTTGTTGCCTGAAGCAAAGAGCAAAATAGCAACCCTTCCTGTTCCATACATCAAAACCAACTTTCTTTAGTTCTGGCAATGGCAGACCATCTTCCACTATGTTTGGAGACAGCAGACTAGCTTAATAATGTATAGGACAAGCTACAAGGGACGTTCTTCCAACATCTTGCTGCTTCATTTCAGCTCCAGCTCATACCATGGATTAGATCATGTTCCTTAGACAACCAAATGCCTACACAGTCCCCTTTATCTGGAATTCCAAAAATATTCCAAAATCGAAAATTGTGCACATGAGTGGCTGAGACAGTGACAGCTTTGCTTTCTGATGGCTCAGTGTACACAAAGTTTTTTTCATGTGCAAAATTATTACAAAACAAACTTTCAAGCTATGTGTATAAGATGTATACAAAACATAAATGAATTTTGTGTTTAGACTTGGGTCCCATCTCCAAGATATCTCATTATGTATATGCAAATATTCCAAGATCTGAAAAACTCAGAAATCCAAGAACACTTTTGCTCCCAAGCATTTCAGATAAAGGAGACTCAACCTGTAAAATCTTGGCTCTGCCACACGTTGTTCTTGTTATTGGGTGCCTTTGAGTCATTTCCAACTTATGGTGAGCCTAAAGTGAAGCTATCATGGGGTTTTCTTGGCAAGATTTGTTCTGAGGAGGTTTGCCATTGAGGCTGAGAGCATGAGACTTGCCCAAGGTCACCCAGTGGGTTTTGTGGCCAAGCTGAGAATCGAATCCTGGTCTCCAGAGAAGTAGTCCAACATTCAAACCACTCTGCCACACTGGCATCTGGCTCTGCCACAGATGACCCTAAATATGAACCAGAGCCGACATATCTGTGTAAAGAAGCGTTCCCTTTGGTATCCCTTTGGTATGGAAAAAACAAATATATTTCCACTGTGTGCCTTGTTTTCCTTTCCTATTAAAGATCCATGTCCTCAGTTGTCCCTCACTTAAAAGTTTAGGACCTGGAGATGTATCCCATGGCCTTAACTTGATAAACATGTATTCTGGATGGCTTGTTAGTGGCATAACAGTCACTTTTCTTGCTGTGCCAATGATTTATTCCACAAGTAAGTGCTCTTAAGATGGGCACACCTTCATGGAATTGCACTTCGGTCTTGCTGTTGGCTGGAGCCTGTCCTTCATGCCAGGCAGTTTTCTCTACCTACTGATTCTACAGACTAAGTCATCTATATCTTTGAATTCTACAACTGTGATATATAGTTGGCTCTGGTCTGGTAGGCCATGCCACACCTTTCTCTCTTGGCATACCCTTCTTTCTCTGCACTTTGTCCTCTCGCTCATCTCCTTGCAGCTTGCCTTTCCCCTTCTGTGATTTAATTCCCCTTAATGAATTCCAGCTCCCAGCTACATCAAAGCCCCAAATGCATTCCTGTTGAGAGAACATAAAGAGAGCTCCTCTTCTCTTCCCCCCCTCCCTGCCAATTTCTGGGATGGGGGTCCAACCTCCCCCCACTTGGTCTTGGCTCCAGCCAGAAAACTCCTCTGATGGAGGGTAGTTGGGGGTGGTATAAGGCTGCTTTGATCCATGTATGGGAAGCCAGCTTTCTGTGCATCTGGAAGGGGGGCAACTCTACTAGGGTAGCTCTTAGACCTGCCATCTGTGCCTCATTTGAAAGCCATCTCCTGAACACCCTGTGGGAGAGGCAGGCTGTCTCGATGAAGAAAGCTCCGTTTTTATGGCGAGGCATCCAGGATGACAGAATAACTATGAGACTGCTCAAGGTTCACATAGGGATTTTGAGCAGGAGGTTTTGAAATCTGCATAGATCGAAATGACAACCACCCCTTGGGTTTCTTAGGCTTAAAGCAGAACGTGGCTGTGTGTTTTCAATGTGTGTGTGTGTCTTGGATAATTCTTCTTGTGACTCACAGTCGCTCCATAAAGATTGCACTATTAGGGTACGCTATTAGATTAGCTCTGTGTGTATGTGTGTATGCTGTGTGCCTTGAAGTCATTCCTGACTTATGGTCAAACCTATCTTGGGGTTTTCTTGGCAAGATTTGTTTAGAGGGGTTTTGCCCTTGCTTTCCTCTGAGGCTGAGAACATGTGACTTGCCTAGCATTACCCAGTAGGTTTCATGGCCGAGCTGGGATTCGAACGTTGGACTCCAGAGTCGTAGTCCAACACTCAAACCACTATGCCATGCTGGCTCCTGCTATTAGATTAGATAGATTAGATTAACTAACCTAGTATAGTGGTTTGGGCATTGGACAAAGACTCTGGAGATCAAGGTTCAATTCCCCACTCAGCCATGGAAACCCTTTGGGTGACCTTGGGCAAGTCACACTCTTTCAACCCCTGAAAACCCTGTGATAGGTTTACCTTAGGATTGCCGTAAACTGGAAACAGGGCACACACAATGTTAGATTACACAATTATTATTAGATCACACTATTAGGATTATCACTGTTAGGGTAATTCATCATGAGAGCTAGGAACACCATTTTAAAAATATTTTTTTAAATGGTTGTTGTTGTTGTTGTTGTTGTTGTTGACTACCCCTGAGTCAACCGCGACTCATGGCGACCCTGTGGTGGTAGGTACTGTGTGCTAAATTTCAAGCATTTTGTGGATTGATATACTAACAGCTGAGAACATAAAGTTGACCTCTACAATTTGTAAAACAGATGTTCATTGAACCCACCCCAACTTTACAGGGCATCTTTGAGAAATGTTTTATATGTGATGGAGCTGAAGATGGCACGCTGAATGCACCCCCTCCTGACTGTATTTGCAAAGCACTAGTTATTTTGTCACCTGCGGCAGAAAATTCCACAAGCTGTTCCCATGAAATAAATCACACTTTTCTGCTTTTTTTTCCTGACACCCAAATGCCTAATGGTAGGGCTGGTTCTGGCAGTTTATTCTGGTTTAGAAACATCATTTCTGAAATCCTTGGAATTAGCTTCTTCAGGAGGACATTGAAATATTGAAGGGGGCATGCACTTATAAAGCCTGATTGATTGATTGCTTTGAATAATAAGTTACGCTAACAATCCTCTTAACTCTTGTTTTCCAGGTCGGAGCAGTTTTCTTCCAGCCAGACCAATGGTGAAAGTTCACCAGAGATGCTTTCCATACAGTTTCAGGTGAGTACCTTTGGCTTTTATAGAAATGATTCTTTCTGACAATACTGGATTAGAGTCCCTGGGAACTTACACTAAATCATCTGTTATACACACTGCCAATAGTGTATATAGCCTGCTTTTGCAGCAAAAGAGCAATCAAGACAGCTAACAAATGTTAAATCCTGCAATAGATGCAATCAGAAGTATTAAAACTAGATTGAAATGCAGCAACCAATGCACATTAGAAGGTAGTATTTTGTTGCTGCATTCCTAAACATATATACCATGTGCAACAAGTACAGTGGGCCCTCCACATAGGAGCACAGGATCCCTGTGAAAATGAGAAAACCACAGATAGAAAACACTATTATTTTCAACTGAGAGAACACCTCTCTAGGAATTTTTAGGTCTTCCAGCACATCTCTGTGGTTAACATCTGCCAGACGTTGATCATAAAATTGTGCTACAGGACCTACCAATCTGTAGGTCCTTCAGCATGACTTTTGGTGAAGATTGATCACATACAAAATTACACTGGAGAGTCCAAATCTGTGGATAATCAAATCCACAAAAATTAAAGCCACAAAAGTAGAGGGCTGACTGTATTTCATTTGTAGCCTTGTTTTGTCTCTTCTAGTAAAACCAACAATGGGTTTTGTGATACTTTAAAGACTGCAACCTGCTTTGTCAAATAATATAGGAAATTTTATCACAAGGATTTAGCCACCAAAATCGCTGCCTGGGTCCAGCCCAGGTTCATATCTGTTCACAGGGGTGCTCAGGGGTGCTTCATATCTGTTCACAGGGGTGCTCTTTTTGAAGCCGGGAATTCGAAACCAGAGCAGCCCTGGGAGCGAGTGGCGATTTCGGAGGCTAAATCTTTGTGATAAGATCCGGATGCCGCCCGTTTTAAATTTTAAGCTGGCTCAGGTAAGCCGGTTTTATTAGAGCTGCGATAATCTCCATAGTCATTTGCCTTTAAGATGTCACAGGACTCTGTGTTTTTACACTCAGCAGGGAGTTAGTCCCATTAAATTCCAATGAATATATTTTTGGGTAGTCAGGCACAGGAATGTGCTGTGTAATATGTACTTAAGAGAGTCAAACACTTAGTGGAGCAAAATAGTTTGCATTGTCTGCTGGAAAGTAAGAAGAAACGTTGACAAAACTCGATAGGAAAGTGTTCATCAATGTGGTTATTGTTGTTATTTGCTAAGTTGACTTAGCCTTATGGTGACCCTATAAAGGGGAGACCTCCAAGAGCGTGGTCCTCGTGTCTTGTCGATTTAAGGTTGTGGCTTCCTTGACTGAATCAATCCACCTGAAATTCTCTTTTCCTACTGCATTCTACTTTATCCAGCATTATTCTCTTTTCTAGTGAGTCCCATCTTCTCATGATATGTCCAAAGTACAACTGCCTCAGTTTAGAGATGTAGAGAGATCTTGTAGCACCTTTGCGACTAACTGAAAGAAAGAAGTTGGCAGCATGAGCTTTCCTAGACTTAAGTCTAGTTCCTCAGATGCATATGGAAGTAGACTTAAGTCTAGGAAAGCTCATGTGCCAACCTTCTTTCAAAGGTGCTACAAGATCTCTCTATATCTCTGATTCTACAGACTAACGTGGCTATATCTTTGAATTCTACACTATGGAAATCTCGGTTAGGTAACTTTGGCTTCTAGAGTGTGTTTAGGCTTGATTTGCTCTGGGACCCAGTTATTTGACTTTATACCTGTCCACATTATCCATAGAAGTCTTCCTCAGTATCACACCTCCAACCCTCCATTGGGAGGGTTAGGGGTTAGGATGACGATGTATTTTAACTGCTGTTTGTTTTAATTTTGCTGTACGCCACCCCGGTTGCTATGCAGAGGGGCGGGTTATAAATAAATTATTATTGTTGTTGTTGTTGTTGTTGTTGTTGATGATGATGATGATTTCCTTCCTATCCACTTTCTTCACTGCCCAGCTTTCACACCCATACATAGAAATTGGAACTTGGATTTACTTTTATTTCCTCACTGATAAATGGTGCATCCTTGCATCTTCTATAGGCTCTGGGGGCTATTTCACTATGTGTGTGTGTTTATTTATTTAAAAATTGGGGTGAGGGTTATGTGTGTGGGGGGAATTGGCCTTCCTGGTCCTGAAGAAATAGGGACTGTTGCATTTATTCTCTTTCTCTCTCCTTTGTTCACGAAAACATTTAAACATTTAACGAAAACATTGCAACATTAAGGAAAGTGTTAGCAAGAAAAACCTTGACCCAGTGGTGCTGTGTACTGTTACATCGCCTTGTAGTTCACAAGCCCATCTCATTTCACTGCAAAGTCTTGTGACAATGTATTTCTCACTTTGTCTCAGTACAATCGATGTAAGTTTTTCCACTTCACCAACATCAAGAATCTTCCTTAACCATTTCACAATCGGCGGAACCGTGCCCATTTTCCAGTCTCTCATCACCAATTTTAGCTGCAATGAATACTTTTGGCAAAACAGTTTGTCTGTGGATAAGCAAGCCAATAAATACATGCCACCAAAAATTGAGAGAGTTTTCTTTAAAACAAAACAAAACAAAAAAAACCCAGCAGCAATCCAAGTATGCTTTTAAACAATTCTGCCATAAAAGGAGGAAGAAAACCTCTTTGTCAACCTTGATACATAAAGCTGACTCAGATAAAGAGGTAACTAAACATACTTTAGGGGAAAGTGTGGACCTAACCTCTCTTGTGTAGCCTTCAAGCCCTGAAACCCTCCAAAGCATTGACATTTGCAAATTCCTGAATTTTGCAAGGTTCTGTGCATCATAAGAGGTTTTCGTTGACGCTGAGATGTCTGTTACCTCTGTGCGCTCCCTCCCACTTAAAATTCTGACATAAGTATTTTGTACTGTCTTTCCAGGGTATCTCTGCTGACCAAAGGGAAAGGTTTATAGTTATGTGTCTGGTCCTTGTTTGGGGAAGCATCCTCATATATCTGTCCCTCTACTTCGACATTACTACAGCTATTGTCAAGAGTTGCAAGCTTATCAATTAAATGTTAATTTGAGGGTAACACTTGACATAGACGCGGCGGCAAAGTAATATCTCCTTTTCTGAGCCATTTGTAACATACTGAAATGGTGTTAGAGTTGCTATGTGTTTCCACACAATTCCGGTAATGTTTGAAATTGTATAGTTGGGTTTTAGGAAGCGGTTTGCTCACACTGTCCAGCCCTGGAGACTTTGCAACATTGTCTTGGGCAGTAGCCACATTGCTGGTCCTCCCTGCAATAACTGTTTCCTTTCCAAATTTGCCAACGCCGCATGAGAAGAAAGGCCGCTGAGCAAGGCTGGCTCTGTTATTAGGGGAAGACAGACCGTCTCAGGGCTTCAAATTTTGGAATACCATTAATGGGGAAACAAACGTTGACTTGTACTACTGTGCGTGATGTCACTTTGAATTTCGGTCTCTGGCACCAAATGTCTCCAGCTGTCTCCTGCGTAGCACATTGTTCTTGATGTTGCATTTTTGTGGTCTTCCCTTGTAGGGTGCAATGAGAACCAGAGATGACGGGCAGAATTCAGTAAGATCCTCCATCTCTAGTCCAGCTTCTATCAGTCCACGGCCCAGCAGTCCTTACTCTCCTCCATCACCTGGATATCGATCTGGTAGCCCATACAGCCCTCAAAGACCAAGGCTACCCAGTGAAGGCAGAGGGGAGTCCATGGTGAACAGCCGCAGGTACCTAAAAATCTTAGCGTGGTGCCTCGGACTTTAGAAAGCAACTTTTTCAAAGCAATTTCAGTCAGCCTTCTGTATGCCCAGATTTTTTTTATCCACTGATTCAAACTTTGACAAAATTCCAAAAAGCAAAAGACACACATTCCAAAAAGCAAACCTTGATTTTGTATATAAGGGTCACCATTTTACCATCCATGGTATTTAATAGGTCTTGCACATCCATGGATTTTTGTATCCACGGGGAATCCTGGAACCAAACCCCAGTGGATACCAAGATCCCACTGTAGATACATTTATGGTACCAGGGCAAAAATTTTGTTACCTTTGTGCAGGTGTATCTCAGTTAACATTACTTCTTTAG